CCGGCACTCTTATCCTTTTGTTCGACCTGTTGGTGTCAGGTCACAATAATACAACAATACACTTGACCTCCAAAATTATGCACATTGCCTACCACTAAAATATGAACCCCGCTGGTACTTGTAATTTGCTTGGAAGCCACTTATGGGAATGAATGTACGTAATAAAGGCTACAAGGCTACGGCACTGTACACCAAAATATTACTTTACAAATCGTGACTCCAGGTCATTTTCAGTCATTCAGTCTCCGTAATAATCATATAATCACTTTTCGTTCACATGCAAATGAGTTCTCTTTTAAGAACGTAAATAAAACTATTTAAAAACCCGAAAAAATTCGTAGTATTTTAAAAATAAAAAAAAAACAAATTATTTGTACCGATCGCAGTAAAAAAGGGATTTAGATAAAATACTAAACCCTAAACGCATGATAAATAAATAAAACATAATACAGAATGCGTCACTGCGTAAACGCCGTTCGTGAAACAGGTTTAAAACATGAAAGGAACAACTCGAAAATGCGATAATGTAATAGCCCAAGAAAAGAAAAACCGATACGTGTAAAAAGCTGTATGTAATCTCCCCGATTTCTGCCGCACATGACCTCGCCTTAAATCTGCCCCGAAAGACTTAAGACCAGAGGAAGGGTCAGCATAAAGGAACGAATTCGGATCTATCCATCTCTCTATCTACATGAAATCACTGTTTCTCATGCAGAATATCTTAAAATTCCATTTGCGAGTTCCGCAAATGGAATTCTTATAATTCTTCTGAATCAGCTTACGTATTCCTCGAAATGGCCGCCTCGGTGTGTATTCGGGGAAAACTTCCGCGACTGAATGAGTAACTCCGCGTCGAAGACTGTAGGAGCCACGCCGGCTGCTAACTGAACTTCGAGTGCCGGTCTGTGGCACTGGATTCCCGCGGTGTCAGCAGTATTTTTGAGTGAACCATTGGCAATGTTTTCATTGAACTCTATAGATCGCGCACAGATGCAAAGGATATACCAGGGGTGGCCAACCTTTTGTGAGATACGATCTACTTTTTCTACAGTTACCCTGATGCGATCTACCAGCCTAAGATTCAAACATATTCCATAAATGTAACTAACAGTGTAACAGCTTAATCAGGTTTAACAGAAACCAGCTATCCCCTTCCTGTACGAACGCGTGCGGTTCCTGTCCACTGGTCGGGTTCCGCCAATTCCCCGGGCTCAAAGGCTGCATGATAACACAGGAGTAGTCTGTCTTTATAAATAATTGTATGTTGTTCAGACACGTCCATCATTATAAATATAACTTATTCCCAGAAAAAAATAATAATCCAAGTATCATGAGTACTTGGATATGCTATTGCAGCTTTTTGCATGACAACTTCTGAAGGACGAACTGTTAACAGGTACAATAGTGTGATCGACTTAAAACAGGCTTGTGATCGACCAGTCCATCGCAATCGACTAGTTGGCCACCCCCAGCATATACTATCATCATCCGCACCAATACTATTATAATCATCACCAATATCATTACCTTCAACATACTTATACACACTTCCATTCCACACACACGCACGCACACGCAATCGCAGACCAGCCACATGACACTGATTCCCACATAGAGAAAACCGGGTCCGGCAGCCTCCGCGCACTCCAGCGGGTCCGGAGGCGGCAACACAAGCCCTGAAGAGCTGGCCTTGCAGA